ATCAACACTGCAAACAAACAGGAATGAAAGTTGTCCGCCGTTCATCTCAGTGACATGAGGCATCTTTTAAATGCAATCGTCATGTGACTAATCACTCTGTAGCCACAGGGAAATGACATCATGTCAACAGCGACAGGCTGGAGGCAACATAGGAACAGACACACACACACACACACTATCCCGAACGGGGAATGGGGAGCAGACAGGCAACCAATCCAAGTATATAAAGCATAAACATATGAAGCATATAGACACACTGGCAAAACATTTTTTATAATATATATTGAAAAAATAAATACTATTGCATTTCTTACTTCGGATGGGGAAGTCAATTAAAAATTAAATAAACATTATGTATTTACTTTTATATTGATTTTAATTCACTTTTAAGAAATAAATTAAAGGGATAGTTCACTTTGAAATTAATTTTTGGTATAATTCAAGGGCATCCAAGACGTAGGTGTCTTTGTTTCTGCAGTATTTTCAATTTTTAGGTCAAACCGTTCTCGTCTGTCAGTCATATAATGGAGGTCTATGGTCACCACCTCAAAGAGCATGCACAGAGAAGTCCAAATTAAACATGATTAAATGATTCATTTGTGAGATTTAATGAGCGGTTTGTGTGAGAAAAACGATTATCGTTTTTTTATTGTAATCACAGCCACGTCCAAGTGATTTGAGAAAAAATTTAACAGTGCCTGTTGATTTATCGAAATCGTCTTCCATTGCGATTTCCTGTATATATCTAAATTATGTTTAGATCTTCACAGTGAAAGGTAAAACTTCCGAAATCTCTGTGTAAACAATGAGTGACGTACACGCACGAGAGATCACTTCCAGCGCTTTCACAGACCAATTGTGATTACAAGAGGTAAAAACGCTATAAATACTGTTCGTTTTCTCACACAAACCGCTCGTTTCGTGTCTTAGGCCATCAATGTGTGCTTACATTTACGAGTCATTAAATCATGTTTAATTTGGACTTCTCTGTGCATGCTCTTTGAGGTGGTGACCATAGACCTCCATTATATGACTGATAGACAAACGGTTTGACCTAAAAATATCAAAATTGAAAATACTGCGGAAAAAAGACACCTACATCTTGGATGCCCTTGAGGTAAGTTAAAACATACCAAACATTAATTTCAAAGTGAACCGTCCATTTAAAAGCAGACACTGGCAAAACATCTATTGAAAAATTGCTACTTTATATCTTACAAAAAAAAAAAGTCAATTTAGATAGAAGAAATATTTCATAGAAAATACATTTATTAATTGCATTTGACATTTTTTTCAAGGAATATTTGATGTCTCAACACACGATCCCTTTAAGTAAGTAAATATTTCTCATTTGGATGTCATGAAGGACATGCGCTGAATGACACCAGATTCCACAGTCAATGCCGATTGAAAGCGCAAATAAACACTGATAAACAGAAGTAGACAAAGCTCTCCCTCTCATTCATAATAAACAAACACTTTGTTTTTCAAGCCGGTGCCGTGATGTTGTGGGCGAATGTGTTGGTAGCAAACACCACTGATACAATATCAGCATCACGTTGTGTTCGATTCCTTCATTTCTCCAAACACGTTGAGACATGGAGCTCTTTTAAGTGCTCATGCCATTGTTGTTAAACCCGAGCCGACGAAAGCAGCTGAAACGGGCTTAAAGGTGAATGTGGTGCCCGGGCCGATAATGAGATGTCTAGGGATAGCAGTGGCTGCTGAAGTTACCTGTCTGTAGCAGAGAGCGCAGGTGTGGAGGCCAAATAGCCTCCCTGAATAATGCACACATGATGATAATTGCTTAGCAGGGTCTGATCTATGGGAGCTCCAGTCTGGGAATGTGTGCCTCGCCGAGTTAACGATCTCAGATTCTTCAATGGACAAACACACACGCTCCTGGTCTGGCTTTCAATGATTTTGTTGTAGATGAAAACTGTGCCTATGCTAATGTCTGTCGACTTTGGGGAAGTTGCAGCTGATAATGGTGCACGCTGAGAAGTGTTTTGCATGTGCATAAAGCCTGAAACTCTGGGGAAAGTGCGAGAGCGGGAAACAAAGAGCAAATTAAGCAGAGGGATCTTTCAGCATGTTGCTCTGCTGTGAGAAACGCGATCATGGGTGGTTTAGGGCCAAATAGGCAAACATCTGAATTTAAAGAAATGACTCCAAATTCATTTTACAAGTGTGAATTTGAATTAAATTGGCTACGTATTCAACAGGATGTTGAACTACAATTACAGGAAGCAGAATTTATTGAAATTAAATCGCACAATCACAAGTTTTAGCCAGTAATTAATTTTGACTAATTGTACCTATTTATTTTATTAAATGCCAACAAAAATCTTGATATATATATATATATATATATATATATATATATATATATATATATATATATGAAGAGTTCAGATGCAAAAGCCTCTAAGTGCCATTTGAAATTTTCTTCTAGAATGATCATTTTTATCAAGCTCGTTCAGTAATTTCACTTAAATGACATCATTTAAGTGAAATTACTGAACTTAAATATACGAGATATATTTAATATCTTGTATATTTATATATATATATATATATATATATTCTGATTAGATGATTTCACAAAATACAGCCCAACACTATAGAAAATAATAAACAGTCATTCAAATTTTAACATTTTTCCCCTATTTTGCTATACAGTACAACAAAATGTCCACAATATTATCATATATCTTTTAAAAATATTTTTAACATTTACATTGATAAAAATATGAAAATACTTTTACATTTCATATAGATTATTTTTTTAATTTACAGTTACAGTATTAAAAATAAAAGGTATTATATTTTGCAGAATAAAGAAAACTGCTATATAAAATAATAAAATGTTTTTTGTCAAAATGTGATTAATAATATAATTTATTTGAGTTGATTGTCATTGTGTATATATATGATTAATACTATACTTAATAAAATATAAAATAAATAAAATAAAAATATAACAGTATATAATAATTATATAATATTAATTCGCATTTAAATCAATTAATAAATAAAATAAAAATATGGATATATTTAATACAATTATTAAATATAGAAATATATATATATATATAAAGTAAGTAATAAACCAGTAAAAAAGGTAAATGTATTATAAAATAATATTATACAGTGCAAAATATAGAAAAATGGCATATAATACTATATATACTATAGATGTCACATGAATTTGGTTAAACATTTTTTTATTACAATTCTGTATCCTGATGTCTAACTTTCGGTCTTGAAAAGGAATAAAATATATTCAGTTCTGATCACGTGTCCACGCGCACCTGGACATGATGATCTGCGGTGGTCATGACTCATGTCACTTCCTATCATCGAGTGTCAATAAAATCATTACGAATGGGAAAACATCTCTTGCATTGATGTGACATGCAACGACACTCTGATTCCTCTTTCTTCCACAGACTTTCATCAAGGTGTATAATCACACATTCATCTGATTGAACTGCATAGGAACTGTGTTCACAAAAAACATCTACGCTCTGTGTCGGAGTGTATTATTGACTGCTGTGCTTTAAAAAACCTTTTCGCTGAAGGTTTCCCGCAACGTGCCCTCGTTCTTTTCACCTCGCGATTCCACGCGGCTCCATTCCCTTTTAGGTTTTCTCTTTAACGCTCAGGTAACAACGCTCCCACAATGAGACGGAGGGAGGAGAGAAAGCAAAGGTAAAATGAAAGAAAAGCAAGAGGGAGAGGACAGGCGCTCTCCTTTGAAGTGTTAAACATCCTTGAATAATTTAGTGCAGGCTAAGTATAGCTCTAAAACAGCCATTTCCATCTCTGAAATAAAGCCTGGCTCGACAAGCACACGGCATCTCACTCCTACTGCCTTTTGTGCCGCCCAACCTTCACTTCAACCCGTTCTTCTAGGAGTGGGAATCACCAGGGATCGTACGAGACAATGCATTTCAGCCGCCATGTTGTTTGCAGTAGCACATTCAGATAATTTACACATGCACTGAAAATGATAAAAATGCCACTATTAAAGGGATACTCCACTTTTTTGGGGAAATAGGCTCATTTTACCACTCCCCCAGAGTTAAACAGTTGAGTTTTACCGTTTTTGAACGTATTCAGCCGATTTTCTGTTATTTAGAAGAATATTAGTTAACAGACCATTTCTGGTCTCATTGACTTCCATAGTATATTTTTTTTCCTACTATGGAAGTCAATGAGACCAGAAACTGTCTGGTTACTGATATTCTTCTAAATATTAGAAAATCGTCTGAATGAATTTGAAAACGGTAAAACTCAACTGTTTAACTCTGGGGGAGTGGTAAAATGAGCCTATTTCCAAAAAAAGTGGAGTATCCCTTTAAAACGCAAGTACAAGTAGTTCCTGTAGTTCATGCTTGAAACACAAGGTCATACAGTAGATTTGAATATTCCTCAGAAAACTAAATGATGTTAGTTGTTAGATGTTGGTTAAAGGGTATTGGAGTACCCAGTGAGTCAATGTACAGTATAGAAAAAATAATTTAGGAACTAAATTCTCTTTATTAAGGTTTTATTAACGGCTTCTCGAGTCGTTTTTGAGAGAAAACATGTAATATGACGTGATGGACATTTTTCAACACGGTCAAGGAAAAATGTGTGCTCTACTATGTCTTTCAAAACTATTTTTAATCTTGCATTACCTTAGCATTTTAATACAAGGTTATATATATTAATTTTGAAGAAAAACTCCCATTCCCTTAAGGATCTGCCACATGAATAAATCTAATTTTCAATCCATTCATTTCATAGTAATACTACACTGTCATCTTAACAGTGAAGGAGACTCTTCACACAAGACATTGCATTAAACGTCTAGAACAAACGTTAATTCAGTAGGCCCTTTAACTCCTGATATATCACCCAGGAGTCATTCCTTTGGGTGTAAAACTTCTGGTGCCGCTTGCCTCCTTCACTGTCCTGTTTCCTAGCCGCCCTCGCATCGCTCTGAATCTCACCTGCAGGTGTCCTCCTGAATGTAGAGGGCGATGAGCTGCTTCGGGACGCTGAAGGACAGTGTGCACTCCGCCATCTGTTCCCGCACCAACATCCATTTACTCTCCACCGTCTGAAACCTATACACCTTACACACCGCGTTCTTAAACACTGAGGAAGAGAGAGAGAGAGAAACAGTAGGTTATAGATGTATTTACATATGATCATTTTGGCAAAGTACAGTGAATATCGACTTCCATTTCAGCCTGTTCCTTACATAAAGCCACTGTATGACTTCCGCTACGCAGCAGTACAGAGAAAATGGAGGAAAAACAGGTAGAGAAGTACTGTAGACAGGTAAAGATGGATATTTTCAGCATAGCAGAGTAAATTAATACCGTACTTCCTAAAAAAAATGTGTTCAAGGGGCAGTAAATACAGTAAATAATAAATAAAAGAGGGCCCAAGACTGAGCCTTGGGGAACACCAGTGGTAATCGCAAGTTAGATCTGAAGTTTTTGACTGATAATGCTGAGGCAGCAGTAGAAGTGATTTCCTCTACAGCATGAAATCATGTTTCTTGTCAACGCTTCGCTCCACTGGCGAGTCGACGGATCAAACACACACCTGAGTGGAAATCTGCAAGTGTCACACAAGCATTTATTCAACACTTTTGCTAATGCAAGACAATTTTTGATCGTCATCGTTGAAGCAAGGGGTTTTGATGAATAATGCTGGGATAGGCATTGTAAAAAAAAAAAAAAAAATAGCTAAACAGTAAGAAAAAATATTAACCCATGTAGCTAATTTGTATCTATTAATTGCAATTATGTTGAAATAAACTATACTGATTTTATAAACCTATTTTGGTAACACTTTAAAATAATGTCTAATTTGTTAATGCATTAGCTAACTAACAGTGAAAAATATATATATTTATTATTCTTTGTTACCAATACTTTGATTGTTCATTGTTTGTTAATGTAAGTTCACACTGCATTAATAAGAGTATACAACTTTAGATTTTAAAATGTATTTGTAAAAGTTGAACTTAGGCTCCATTTGCATTAATTCTGCTAGACCTTTCCTCTTTATTTTACACAATCTCTCACAGTATTCTCATTTTATGCTCTTGGTATCTCTAAAACTGACCTATCTTGGTTCACTTGCGTCTGCATTACATCTCTATCAGCCAGACCAAGTCCACTACAGCTCCTGTCTCATACGGTGTTCCCCAGGGTTCTGTTCTTGGACCTTTATGCTTCCACTAGGTGGCATTATTCGTTATCATGCATGGTTTAACTTTCATTACTACGCACATGACACCTAACTTTACATCCGTTCTCAACGCAACACTCTTTTCCCCACCTGCAACTTCAAAACAACTTCTATTGGTGATATAAATGCTTGGATGACAAATCATCTTCTCTTTCAACTCAACACGGATCAAACAGATAAACTTCTTGTTGGTTCACCTTAAATTACATCCTGTTTCTATTTTTCAATGTAAATATTGCTGAAATCTTGGTTTGACCTTTCACAACTGTTGAAAACCTGGGTATAGCTTTTAAAAACGTCCATTTTAAACGTCAATGATGGTGAGACGTCGAGGCTAGTTCAGGCTTGACAACTGCAATTCTCTTTTCTCTGGCTTACCCAACACAACAGGAAACAATCTATAATAGGACCCGCTCACATATAAAAAGAAATCTTTCCACATTACTCACCTCAGGTGTTATCTATATTCTCAGTTCATCTGTAATGTTTTGTCTGCTGTAGAGCCAGGTCGATATTATCGGCCGATATTAGGCATTTTCTAAAATATCGGTATCGGCAGTTATAATGGCCGATCACGTTTCAACCACGTCATGAGTGTTGGAGTTGTATAGTTTGTCCACCAGAGGGCACTCTACACCGTCCCTGTTGGCAACACTCGTGTATAACGCGCCACACATCCTTCAACCTGCTGATCCAGCCAGAGTCAGGCAGACAGAACCACTATCATATTATTTTAGTTAAAACTCATAATTAACTACAAATAACTAATGTTAGGGAAATCTGATAATATTTTGTTGCTCGTTTCTGAAAAAAAAAAAATAATAATAATATCGGCCGATATATCGGATTTTATAACCAACAAAAATTTGTATCGGTATCGGCCTTCAAAATCCTTTATCGGTCGGGCTCAAGTATGCTGAAACATTTTTTTTATTACAATACTGTAAAGTTACCTTGAGATAGCCACTATATAAAATAAACTCATTATTATAACTAATTTTAACAAAATGTTCCTCATTGTAAAAGAAAACAACAAACATAAAATTGTGACACCCCGGAAGTGACATCTTTTGTACCCTGTCTAACATTTTTTGCATCAAGCTCACCCATTCAACCATGTTACCCAAGTCTCCATAAGAAATATGATCAAACAGATATTTGTCTATTTATGTATGCAAAAAAACAAGTATTTTTTATTATTTCCACTAATGTATAAGCTTACTACATTGTATTATTACGCATAATAAAATACATTATATAATATAAAGCACACACAAACGCACCCACCCACGCACACACATCATGTTCATATATAACTTCTACTTTTGTACTTTTTCTTAAAAAATATAGATCATAAAATTGTGTTAGTTGCCCTTAATGGAAGCAGAAAGTACAGACAGGTAGTTCGCAGAGGATGTCAAGTGAAGATAGAGACAGATGGACGCGTGACCTCGAGAAGAGGTGAACTGAACGCAAACTCCCTCATCCAGCGCTGTGGAGGATTAACCTCTGACCTCTAATTCGACGGCCAATCGGATCGCAGCATCTCTGCCTGCTCAAGCTCTTAGGAAAATGACTTTGCGATGCGTTAGTGTTGAAGCACAGCGGATGTCCAGGGGTTGGGGTGACGGGGACAAATTTCATTAGTCAGTCTTTCAGAGGCAGCACAGACTAACATTTTTTGACAAGAAGCTGTGTGACTAAAACAACAGCCATCCACGACGCCACAATGACATTCAATACGGTTACAGCACGAGCACGTAAACACTGCAAAACATCAGATACGGAGATAACACCGAACACCCTGGACTTCTAGAGGGACCCGTCTGCCGTTCCCAGCATCGCATCCATCCATCACATCACAGCAGCTCATAAATAAAGAAATGACCTTCTACAGAGTTTGTTTCTCAGGGAACTTTCAGAGACTTTGGGTTTATTCACTCACTAATAAAGTGCCACAACTATTCCATCTCTCTTTTCTTCACCGTGCCCGACAAATTTACACTGAAATGGCATAAAAGCTGATGTCTTTGGCGATTTCCTCCGATACTGTTTATCCTGATGCGCTACCTGAGGTAATTAAGCTAATGAGCAACTGGTGGTTAGTTAAGCGCAGCAATCCACAATACACTCCATGATCTCAACAATACCGATGGCAATCCAACGGTATTGAACAATATTCCTCTTCAGATTCTACTTAAAGGAGTAGTTCACTTTTCAAAAAACTTTTGCTGATAATTTACTCACCCCCATGTCATCCAAGATGTCCATCTCTATTTTTCTTCAGTCGAAAAGAAATTAAGGTTTTTGATGAAAACATTTCTGGATTTTTCTCCATATAATGGACTTCAATGGGAACCAAACGGTTCAAGGTCCAAAAGACAGTTTCAGTGCAAACTGTTCAAAGGGCTTTAAACGATTCCAGACGATGAATAAGGGTCTTATCAAGTGAAACGATCGCTCATCTAATAAATAAATAACAAAGTTTAAGTTTTATAAGTTCAAATGGTCACCTTGCTCTGTTCTGTGTGACTCTCCTGTTTGAACTCGTTCATCAAAATGAACAAATCTTTTTCCTAGTCAATTTGTTTGTTTCGTTCGTTGAATGAACCAAATGACTCGGAAAAAGATTTGTTCGTTTTGATGAACGAGTTCGAACAGGAGAGTCACATCAAAGAACAGCAAGGCGAGCATTTGAGCTTATAAAACTTAAACTTTGTTATTTATTTATTAAATGAGCGATCGTTTCGCTTGATAAGACCCTTATTCATCGTAACGTTTTTATCAAAAACCTCAATTTGTTTTCGACTGAAGAAAGAAAGACATGGACATCTTGGATGACATGGGGGTGAGTAAATTATCAACATTTTTTTTTTTTTTTAAAGTGAACTACTCCTTTAATAACTTGGCACTTTAATAAAGACAAAATATGTATTCAAAAACACATTTAGTCTTTATTAAAGTACCAAGTTATTAAGTCAACAAATGTTCAGTGAAAAAAATAAATGGGGCTTTAGAAAATGTTTATATTACAAGATGTTTTAGCTCCAATCACACACATAAGGGTTTTACTTTCTAGGAATAAACACTGAAGAACGTAAGAGGAACTCAAACTACAAATAGTGTCAAATGATTAAGAAAACTAAACAAGATTATTTACTCGTCTGCTCATCATGCTTTAGAAAGAGTCACTTCTTGGGTGTCACAACCAATCATAAACAAATTGTACAGTAAGACTGTTCGTAGACAGTAATGAGACGAAACGGCTCGTGTTTACTCCTTCCTCATGCATCATCTCTCGAGTTGCAGGAGAGATCACAAACTGCTCAAATCCACCAAGACACAAAAGCCTACGAACTCTATATGAACTCATGAATTTCTCATCAGATTCTCTGAAGCCTGAATGATCTGAGCTGCAATCCACATTCATTTATATATCTATAGTTTGACCGTATTTCAACATTTTGCATTCCTCAACTCTTTGAAAGAAAGTGAAGAACTATAGTCCTGAGAAATACTATAATATAATGAAATACTTCAATAGGAAATGACATATCATACGTTGGTTAGCATGACCCAGGTAACCGTTGATGGTATATGGTTGCAAAAAGTGGATTCATCTTCAAATGGATTTTAATGATATAAATTGGGAATACTCCATTAAACTACACACTACTCATAGCCCTCAAACCGTATTCACTTTATAGCCCTTAATCCTGTAATTGTGGACAAATGTGGGCATAGAGGACTCAAGTGTGAACCTAATTTTTATTTATTATAAATGTTATATCACTGTCTTCGATAAAGTTTTGTCTATCTATTTATGGTGTTTTCTTTTATTTTGGGGGTATTTTTGAATTTATTTACTTCAAAAAGTACCATATTTTCTATGTAAATTAGTTCTATGTAAATTAATTACTATGTAGGTTTTTTTTTTTTTTTGACTACATACATATTATTCCAATAAGTTCTTAGAGCTAAAAATTAAAAATGAAGTGACTTTGCTGTCACCTGGTGTCTTATTTTGGCTTATTTTAGTGCTCTAAATTAGTTTTTCCCATTCATTTCTATGGGTGGCCATTTTTGACCCAAATACAAGATTAATGAGTTTTTTTCACCCACTTAACATTGTAGAATTGAGTCAAAAAAAAAATGTGTGTGTTCAGGAAGCAAACTTAGGAAAAGTAGCCAAGTCTTGTACCGCTCAGATCAAGGGAAGTATTTTTTTTTTTTAAATAAATCAAAACTATTTTGCCCACATTTGTCCAGAATACGGTTTTAGGGTTAAAAATTCCATGAAAACCTTTAACATCAATTGAACCTGGAAAAAGGTTCTCAAAATGTTGTTGTTTTTAAGAACTTTTCCAAAATGGTTCCTCTATGGCATCGCTGTGAGAACACAAAATGAACCTTGTTTTTAAGAATGAAAGCTCTGAAGTTTAGAGTCTGTAAAATGTTTAATTTTTAAACTAATAAAAGAAAAATCAAACGGACACTGGGAGACTCTTAAAGAGTTTGGGATTCTGTGTGTTTTTGTGATGCAATCAAGTGATTGATTTAAAACAATCTGGCAACGAAACCGAGAGTTGAATGGGAACGGTAGCAGATAACTCTGCAGTCTCTATCTTCAGGTATTATAACCCTTAAACCACAGAAGCCAAAGCATTTTTTAACTCACCAGAATTCATTATTGGTCCGTTATCCTTGTCATTAATGGTTCCATGCGACGACTCGTACACCAGCGTGCACTGTGGGAAAAAAAAAACAAGATTGAAGGTCATTTATCACTGATTATTAGATGTCAACATAATGACTACTACTCTAAATACGAGCCAGCTACCCCGTCTCATGAGCCGAAGGAACAGTGACAAGCTGTCACCTGCACCACTGCTCAGATAATAGAGGCGTTCTCTGAGTTTCCCAGAGCGCCGATGTAAGCAATACGGGAGACGAGAGACCCTCACGACAAACACGATCCTCCATCAACATCACCCACAGCGCTTAAGACCTAATCACTTGAAATGCATACCCCCTCATCAGGGTTTAGTGTGATGACGGATGAGTCTTCACGTCTCATTAGGTCTCGTGACCTTGGATGGGTCTTGTGAGGGTTTCCAGACTGCTCTTGGCATACAGCTTAAAAAAACCACCAACAACAACAACAAAAAACAAGAGTCGCGATCAGTCCATGTTTTATGAAGAGTCATGCTCTGTGGCAGATCCTCCTCAAATATACATCAGCCCTGACCCACATTCCCTCATGAAGAACAAAGTGAATCACTTCTGAAGCCCACAGATCAAATAAGAGCACAACGGCTCCGAGTCAATACACAGACAGACACATGTTACAGGACAGCACGAAAACGCCTTATTGTCCAATCAATCTTACAACTTCAATGAATATATATATCAGTGGGTGGGTCTGTCAGTCTATCTATCCATCCATCCATCCATCCGTCTGTCTGTCTGTCTGTCTGTCTATCTATCTGTGTAAATATCAATGTATCTATGTATCTATGTATGTATCTATGTATGTATGTATCTATCTATCTATCTATCTATCTATCTATCTGTCTGTCTGTCTGTCCGTCCGTCCGTCCGTCCGTCCGTCCGTCCATCTATCTGTGTAAATATCTATGTATCTATGTATGTATCTACAGTATGTATGTTTCTATGTATGTATCTATGTATGTATGTATCTATCTATCTATCTATCTATCTATCTATCTATCTATCTATCTATCTATCTATCTATCTATCTATCTATCTATCTATCTATCTATCTATCTATCTATCTATCTGTCTATCCGTCCGTCCGTCCGTCCGTCCGTCCATCTGTGTAAATATCTATGTATGTAACTATGTATGTATCTATGTATGTATGTATCTATCTATCTATCTATCTATCTATCTATCTATCTATCTATCTATCTATCTATCTATCTATCTATCTATCTATCTATCTATCTGTCTGTCTGTCTGTCTGTCTGTCTGTCTGTCTGTCTGTCTGTCTGTCTGTCTATCTATGTAAATAAATATCTATCTATCTATCTATCTATCTATCTATCTATCTATCTATCTATCTATCTATCTGTCTGTCTGTCCGTCCGTCCGTCCGTCCGTCCGTCCGTCCGTCCGTCCGTCCGTCCGTCCGTCCGTCCGTCCGTCCGTCCATCTATCTGTGTAAATATCTATGTATCTATGTATGTATCTACAGTATGTATGTTTCTATGTATGTATCTATGTATGTATGTATCTATCTATCTATCTATCTATCTATCTATCTATCTATCTATCTATCTATCTATCTATCTATCTATCTATCTATCTATCTATCTGTCTATCTGTCCGTCCGTCCGTCCGTCCGTCCGTCCATCTGTGTAAATATCTATGTATGTAACTATGTATGTATCTATGTATGTATGTATGTATGTATGTATGTATGTATGTATGTATCTATCTATCTATCTATCTATCTATCTATCTATCTATCTATCTATCTATCTATCTATCTATCTATCTATCTATCTATCTATCTATCTGTCTGTCTGTCTGTCTGTCTGTCTGTCTGTCTGACTGTCTATCTATGTAAATAAATATCTATCTATCTATCTATCTATCTATCCATCCGTCCGTCTGTCCGTCTATCTGTGTAAATATCTATGTATGTATCTATGTATCTATCTATGTATCTATCTATCTATCTATCTATCTATCTATCTATCTATCTATCTATCTATCTATCTATCTATCTATCCATCCATCCATCCATCCATCCATCCATCCATCCATCCATCCATCCATCCATCCATCCATCCATCCATCCATCCATCCATCCATCCAGACAATCTTAAGTTGAAAATGACCAGTACATTAATTAAAATAAACTTTCCTACATTCAAATATCAATTCTGAATCTTGTTTGCTACCTCAATTCAAATTCAGGAACAGTAACTGTAATTTATGAGGCATTCTCTATTTAAATCTTAAAGCCACAGACTAAATACCCTCCATTTCCCTTCTCATGTCCTACATCCATCTCCATAATTCTCACACTCTTCTTCCTTTCTTCCCTATATTCTGTCGGTCTATTTCATGCTGGTTAATGAAGGTTAAAGGGTTTTGCTGATGGTCGTGTCAGTGTAAGTTATCGAGTTTAGGGGACATGAAGGGAGTCACGCTGTCTGTCAGCGTAGTAATGCTCAGTTCTCCATGACACACACACATATGGCTCATTTATGGCCCATCACATATGTCTAAATATACTGGATATTCAACTAACTAGTTTAGACGATGTGAACCATGTTGTTTTCTTTGATCAGAATAGCACAATTAAGTGAACTTGATGGCATCATCCTCCAGGAAGTGACATCGCCAACAGGTTCAAGATGTACTGCAGAGCTGAAAAATATCCTATATATATATAAACCCTCATAAATAACCTGTAAACACTCTCCAAATGGATGCTTTACTTCTTCAGTCAACTGTGCAATTGAATTTCAGGGATGCCACACTCAATATTCACTCTTTGACTGGAGACAAATCTTGAGAGGTGATTTTCTATTACCACCCCTTATAAACTGCGTGCACATACACACACAAAAAGACACGACACAAGCCGCTTTTAATTAACTGTCGTTCAACAGCAGTTGAGTGAATCTCTTGAAAACGTAGTAGACATTGTTAACGTAGTGACAAACAACATTTCACGTCAAAAACCAATAATAAATCAATAATCATTATTTGATCTGTGAATGTTGTGACCACAATAAAATGGCATATCTGTGTCCATAAGGCTTATTTACTCTTTAAAAGCTTTTGTTGTTGAGTTAGTAGCTAGTTTAAGACATGTACTGGCCACCTAAGCTTACCTTCTGGTGCATGTCGGCGGTAATGTGGTCCACCTCGCCATCCTCGATCTCACCCATCTTCATCCGGCTCAGCACCACTGTGCCCACTGTTGCTGAATCATCTGCTGTCCTGAAACACAGCAACACAAGAGAAATGAGTCTTCAAGCTGATATGAACATGAATCACAGTGTTTTCATGTTAAAGTCCCCCTGTAGTCAATCACTGTGTTCCTTAAAACTCATCTCTGATCACCAAAATGACGCATTTAAACGTTTTGTCCGGTGAAAATAATTTCTTCGTGTCTTAAAATAGCTTGAATGCAATTACAGCCTTGCTTCATTTAGTATACGTGGATTCATGAATATGCAAATGAGTCTCTTCCTCCACTCAATCACATCAGTGCTACCCTGCCCCCACATTGACGGGATTGGTTACATGTTTGTGACGTCAGACGTCTCAGACGTTACAGAATTTACACATGGTTTGTATTAAAGCACATTAACCTGTTAACCGTCACCCCCCCCTTTTTTTGAATAGACATGGAAATGCACATTTCGAACTTAAATGGTTGTAATTCAAGAATATTTTTGTAGAAGTGAAACAAATTAAGAAAGTGGAACGTTATAGAAGTTTAAGTTTATGGAAATTAATTATTCATATTTTATATAAAATACATATTTTCAAAACCTTCACTACTCTAACACTGCAGAAAAATCAAAGCCAAAAAATTTAAATTTTAGGTTGAGATTATAAAAATTAGCTTTCTGTGACATTTTGTTTTGGGCGCAGTACCGAACGCTTCCACTAGGGCACAAGCAGACTCCATTAGTGCCCATATAAGGGCGCCTCCATTTCCATATGTGTTTTGAGTGATATGAACCATCATTTACCAACCCGGTCTCATCCCAAGACGTCATATAACTGACGTTTTGGGACGTCTTTTGACCATACGTCAATATTCGCCTTTTTAGGGCCCCCTTAAACGTCGGCAGATGAGGTTATGGGATCCTAACTCTACCCCAGACCTAAACTTAACCCTAAACCTAACCCGTCACCTAACTGACGTTAAAGGTAAAGCGTCAGTTGTATGACGGCCCGGGATCGCCATCTACCGACGTTTCAGGGGGCCCTAAAAAGGCGGATATTGACGTATGGTCAAAAGACGTCCCAAGACGTCAGTTATATAACTTTTTGGGATGAGACTGTGTACACAATTTTTTATACAATTTATGAAGTAGAGATCCTACTCAGAAGTAGTATGGGAAGTTTGGCAGATTTTGATATGAATTCAACCTCTAAGAAACACAAACAACACGCATGTGCGTTATGGCTTCCTGCCACATCACAAATGGTGAATTTATTATTTTTTTCTTAATATTTAAAACATTTTCAGACTTCTTTTCAGACTATTTTCTAAAATAATTGAATGGATGCAATCTTTTGAACTCTTGGCTTTTTTTTTCACGATTTTTCATGTTCATTGCTATTTCGAAATAAAGGTCTGAACACGCTTTATGAGTATGAAAATATTCTTGTGGCAAATTGATAAATTACAGCTCCTGTGTAATTTATTTTGAAAATCAGTCACCAAATATGGAAACTAGACATTGTAAGCTTTCAAATGATATATAGTTTGTCAATATTACTTAAGGTCTTTTCTAAGATATTATTGTTTTAAAAATATAGTGGCAAGCGTCCCACCTGTCAGACGTGATAGTTTAGGGGTTTAAAAACAACACATGGACGATGACACGCATCATCTTTAAAATGAAACATTTTAGAGCAAAAAGATAGTTAATTCAGAGTTATTTTCTAGTCTTGTATATTACGTCCTTCGTGGAATGATTTTTCTGCTGGATGTTCATGATTTATTAAAGCTTAAGAACATTCAAAACTAACTTTCCCATAATGTTTGCAAAATGATAAAACGTAAATGTTCCCTTAACATAAAAAAAATTGTTTTTAAAACATAAAAAATTGACTTTTTGAACGTTCAGAGAGCTTAGAGAAATAACAATTTGATAACTTAATGGGTTCGTAAGCAAACTGTTGGGAGTACGAGTCTTAGACTGATGATCAGATTAAAAAATGTCATGTAAACGACTCAAATGGGTCACTGCGGCCTCACGGAGGTGATATCCTGAAGACATAAGCATTGATTAAGGAAGATTACTCGCTTTCTCAGTAGTAACCGGACGCAGGTTTGGCACGAGCAGATCAAACCCCAGCTGTGGCTGTTCACGTGCCAGCGGACTTGGATGGAGTCTGATATCTGAGGATACGATTGACCTCAAATTAACTTTGAGGCTCGACTGAGTCACGGAGGACAGAAAAAGACATCCAGCCTTTAGAGGTGCATTGGCAAATTACCCATCCATGAACATGACCTAGACAAACCTAATTGGCCCTGGGTCTCTTTATGACAACAGTAAATCACAGAGCGTTGTTATGAGAAGAGCTAGCGCGGCGTATGCTAATAGATCTGGATGAAGCGCCGTTAGCGATACATTTTACTTCTGTGATGTGAAGCATTTCTGGATATTTAAACATCATTGAGGATTAATTGGGGAGCGATAAGTAGTCATTATAAAGCAGAAAGTGAGCTTGATGGTTTGTGGGATTAAAGGAGTAGTTCACTTTAAACAAAAAAAATCCGTGTCATCCAAGATGTCCATGTCTTTCTTTCTTCAGTCGAAAAGAAATTTTTGATGAAAAAATTTAGGTTTTTGATGAAAACATTCCAGGATTTTTCTCCATATAATGGACCTCAATGGGAACCAAACAGTTCAAGGTCCAAAAGACAGTTCCAGTGCAAACTGCAAACTGTTCAAAGGGCTTTAAACGATTCCAGACGATGAATAAGGGTCTTATCAAGCGAAACGACGCTCATTTAATAAATAAATAACAAAGTTTAAGTTTTATAAGCTCAAATGGTCGCCTTGCTCTGTTCTGTGACGCACGTTTGTGACTCTCCTGTTCGAACTAGTTCATCAAAATGAATCTTTTCCGAGTCAATTCATTCGTTTCGTTTATTGAATGAACAAAATGACTCGGAAAAAGATTTGTTCATTTTGATGAACAAAGAGTCACAAACGTGCGTCACAGAACAGAGCAAGGCCATTTGAGCTTATAAAACTTAAACTTTGTTATTTAAATATTAAATGAGCGATCGTTTCACTTGATAAGATCCTTATTCATCATCTGGAATCGTTTAAAGCCCTTTGAACAGTTTGCAGTTTGCACCGAAAGTGTCTTTTGGACATTGAACTGTTTGGTTCCCAATGAAGTCCATTATATGGAGAAAAATCCTGGAATGTTTTCATCAAAAACCTTAATTTCTTTTCGACTGAAGAAAGAAAGACATGGACATCTTGGATGTCATGGGGGTGAGTAAATTATTAGCAAAAGTTTTTTGAAAAGTGAACTACTCCTTTAACTTTTAAATACCTAATTATGCATTAATGTGAGGAGAATTTTCCATGAAAGACCCACAACAGGAAGATTTGTTAATGCTTTTTTTCTCTCCAATACAGATGTGCGTAAACATGCATTTTATGACGTGAAAGTTTGTCCCAAAGCTTGTCTACTCTTCCGCAACACACCCTAAATTATGTACTTTTTCTTCACACAAAGAGTACGTACTTTATGGCGAATTGGGACACAGCAAGCGCCTTTATGAGTCACTGAATCATTCATTCAATTGATTTGCTCAAAACGCTGACTCATTTAGAAACTAAATGCCACCGGTGTGTTGATTGATGTTGCAACGGGTTTGTTTGAAAAAAATTTCGGTTCAAACAAACAAATATTGTAAGTTACTGATTCTGAATATTAAAGTCTTGTTCATTGGACTGTTTAAAACCAATATCACAAGATTGTGCCGCTTCCTTGATACTTTTAACTACAGCCCAAGTCATTGCATGCTTTAATGTGACAATTTCAATTTAATAATGGAGGCTTGAGCATCTTTTAAGTTAGTTACTATATACATGTATTATGTACAGAAGTCCTGCATGGTGTAAAAAAGGAAAGCAGCAGTGGTGAGGATCATAAATCTTTTCACATAAGGCTTGATGATTTATGATGCCTTTAAACTCACAGCTGACTGTGACACTGTTTCCCTCTGCGACTAACAGCACAGTCAATTAAGAGAGGTGGAATGAATATTTCTCTCGCAAGAATACATACAACATGTCTTTATTTTGAGCTAGAGGGCATCTCAAGTACACAGTGCTTTCCACACAGAGAGAATCTGATAGTGCCGCCACTCCAAAAGCACTGAAGACGGCTGAATTTGTACACGCTATTCAAGAGTCGTGGAGAGCTAAATGAAGAGTGGCATTGAAAGGCAATACTTGAGTGGAATGCTTGAAACCAGCCTTACTTCTTCACCAGCCGACACTCTGGGTCAACCATCTCCGTTAGCAATGCATTGCCATTCAGTTTCTTGAATTAAGACCTTTGCTTAAAGGGATAGTTCACTTTGAAATTAATTTTCGGTATGTTTTATCTTACCTCAAGGGCATCCAAGATGTAGGTGTCTTTGTTTCCGCAGTATTTTCAATTTTGATATTTTTAGGTCAAACTGTTTGTCTATCAGTCATATAATGGAGGTCTATGGTCACCACCTCAAAGAGCATGCACAGAGAAGTCCAAATTAAACATGATTTAATGACTCGTAAATGTAAGTACACACTGATGGCCTAAGACACGAAACGAGCGGTTTGTGTGAGAAAACGAACAGTATTTATATCGTTTTTACCTCTTGTAACCACTTGTGATCTGAGGGCACGGGCGCTTCAGTCTGTGCAAGCGCTGGAAGTGATCTCTCGAGCGTGTACGTCACTCATTGTTTACACAGAGTGTTACCTTTCACCTTGAAGATCTAAACATATTTAGATATACAGGAAATTGCAATGGAAGACGATTTCGATATATCAACAGACAACGTGGATTTTTTTTTTCGCAACCGCGCGAGAGATCCGAAGCTCTCAGATCACTTGGACGTGGCTGTGATTACAAGAGGTAAAACGATATAAATACTGTTCGTTTTCTCACACAAACCACTCGTTTCATGTCTTATGCCATCAATGTGTACTTACATTTACGAGTCATTAAATCATGTTTAA